TAAGAAAGTCTTAATTTGAGTTCTATTGCTGTGAAGAAACACTATGACCAAGGCAACTATTAACATTTAATTTGAGCTGGCTTATAATCCGTTATCATCCTGTTGGGAAGCATGGCAGCTTCCAGGCAGATGTGGCAATGGGGATGAAGCTAAGAGTTCTACATCTGCAGGCAGCAAGGAAGAGACTGTGTCTCATCAGGCCTAGCTTGAGCATAGGAAACCTCCAAGCCCGCTCTCACCGTGACACACTTCCTCCAACAAGGCCACACCTACTCCAGCAAGGCCACACCTAATAGTGCCACTCCCTATGGACCAAGAGTTCAAACACATGAATCTGTGGGGGGCATACCTATTTAAGCCACCACACCATAGAAGGAGGAACGTACATAAACACTGAAGGCACAGAACCGATTCAATGAAGTTATAGCAGAAAACTTAAATACATTTAAGGCATTTAGAACCCTCAAAGAAACATGATCTGAGAAAAATCTCCCCTAACAGATAGTCAAGATGTCAAAACTCTAAAACAAGGAAGCAACATTAAAAGCTCTTCAGGAAAAATGCCAACTTACATATAAAGGCAGAAACATCTGGGTAATACCAGGTCTCTTACCAGCAATGCTAATAGCCAGGGAAGAAAGGAATGATATATTTCAAGAACTGAAGATAAATAACTGCCAACAAAGACTGCTAAGCCAGCAGAACTATCTTTAAAAGTCGATGGAAAAATAAGGACATTCCAAGACCAGCCCACACCAAGGTAGTTCATGGGCCCCCAACAGCACTGTAGAAGACATGCAGAGTCACAAACACAAGAAAGAACATGAACAAAGAAAAGATAAGAGGGAATTCATCATGTCCGGCACAGTGAACTCCTAATACAAATGGAAAAGAAAGGAAAAGCGAATGGTAATCTAACCAACAGGAGTACAGAAATCAGGAAACACCACTATTAATAACTTTAAATATAAATGGCCTCAAGTCAACAAAAGAGAGACACAGATTGGCTGAATGGATTAAAAAACAAGAGCTAACCATCTGTTGTCTCCAAGAAACACAACTCACTGGTAAAAATATCTACAGACAGAGTCAAAGAAAACAATCTATCAAGTGAGCAGAAACTGAACACAGCTATTCTGGTATCTGATAAAACTTGACTTTAGGGATGAGGATTTATGATGCTTGCCTAGCACACACAGGGCACCAGGTTCACTCCCAAGTATTGCACTAATCAGACATGATAGTGGCATGTCTATAATCTCAGTATTAGGGAGATGGTTCAAGGTCTAGACAAGAAGTTCAAGGTCACCCTTAGCTACATAGAAAAGTTCAAAGCCATGCGGACACATGAGACCACTTCTCTAAGTATGTGAAAATATATTTCAAACCAAAATTAGTCGGAAGAGATAAAGAATGCCACTACATGGTAATAAAGGAAACAATTCACCAAGAAGCTATAAAATTATAAATATCTGCACTAAACATTAGAGCTCCGATTTCAATATGCAAACACTAGCAGACATAAAAGGTCAGACAGGCCTCTCACATTATCAATAATAGTGGGTGATCTCAGTATCCTAAGCTCATCCTTAGCCAGGCATCTAATTGAAAAGTAAACAAAGAAAACTTAGAGCTGAACTACAGAACAGAGTAAATAAACTCACCTGACAGCTACATAAAACTCTATCCAAAAGATACACAGCACATATTTGACTTAGTCCATATTCCTGTGAAACCTTTTCTAAAGCAGAGATTCTGGCTACACATCAAATCTCACCAGTACAAAAGGATCTAAATAGTGTCTTGTATCTTACCAGATCATTGTGCAAGAAAATAGAAATCAATAGTAGAAAAAAAACTATAAAAAACAATATGTCACTGAAAGACCAGTGGGTCACTGAAGAATTCAGAGAAGACATTTAAAAATTCCCAAAAATCACAGTTCACCATAACCTTTGGGATACAGCTAAGGCAATCTTTAAAAAAAAAAAAACATTTAGAGCTATGAGTGCTTATAGTAAACAACGAGAAATAGTTTTAAATAAATAGCCTGATGATACACCTCAATGTTCTAGAAAAACAAGAACAATCCAAACCCAAAGGGTAGACAGCAATAAATATCCAGATAGAAAGTAATGAAATGGAATATAAGAGAACATCGGTTACAGGAAAAGCTGATTATTTGAAAAAAAAAAAAAAAAAAAAAAAAGATTGACAAGCCTTGGCCAAATGAACCAAGAGTAAGGTCGGGAGTCAGAGACCAGGAGGACACAAATCAATAAAAAAGTAGAGATGGAAAGGGGATGACTGAAGATTTCACTTAAACCAGTGAACCACTAGGGAATTCTTTGAAAACCTACATTCCAGGAAACTGGGAAATGTAGAAGAAGGGGATGACTTCCTAGACACATATGATATACCAAAATCAAAAGGATGTGAACAACAGAAACAGATGCATTAAGAAGCAATGGGACTGAAGTAGCAATTAAAAAGTCGCCCTACAAAGAAAAGCTCAGGACCAGATGAATTCATTAAGTTCTGCCAAACCTTTAAAGAAAGTCTAACAAACGTGTTTGTCAAACTATTCCATGAAACAGAAAGGGAAATAGACAGGAGAAATGATGGTTTCCCAGTTAAAAGGATAGCATAGGCCAGGCATGGTGGCACACGCCTTTAACCCCAGCAACGGGGAGGACAAGGCTGGCAGATCTCTGAGAGTTCAAGGACAGCCTGGTCTACAAAGTGAGTTCCAGGACAGCAAAGTCTATTACATAGAAGAAACCCATCTTGAAAAAAAAAAAAATGTATTTTATGAGTATGGAGCAAAAGATTTTTACAAAACAAATGAGATCCAAAGAAAAAGGCCCACCCATCTGTACTTCAAATAGAAAGGCAATTCAAAACAAACACAGGAACAAAAAGTCAAAGTCATTCATATTAGCTTCTTCTCTGGCCCTAGCAGGTTTTTGTTTTGTTTTGTTTTGTTTTGTTTTGTTAGATTCTTGGGAAGACCCAGGGAGATGGTAGTGCATGCATTCGAGAGGCAGAGGCAGGCAGATCTGAGTTTGAGGCTAGCCTGGTTTACAGAGTGATTCCCAGGACAGCCAGGGCTACACAGAGAGAGAGAGGGAGAGGGAGAGAAAGAAGGGGAGGGGGTGAATAGACTGATTCTTGGAAGAAAGAATTTATTCCACCAGGAGAAAATAAACTATTCCAGAGATGTTCATGGCAAGGACTTGGTGGAAAAACTTAGTTTTGAGAGACACTATAAGTGATAAGTTCAAACTCTTAAGCGGGAAAAGGGTAAGTCCAGAAACATTAGGAACTCAAACCTGTGTTGCAGACTTCTCTGTGGCTGAGCTTGGTCCTTCCCAGGCATGCCTGGATGATTAGCAAATGACAAGAAAGAAAGCTCTTATCCATCACAGCCCCTTCAGGATTCACGGGAGATGAGAGGGGCCTGCATCCTCTCCAGAGGCCCTGGTACTCATCTCTCCACTTAGGATTATCCCTAGGACGCTATACTACATTGTAGCCTCAGTAATCAAAATAAGTTATTTTACTGTGATACCACATGGCCTCAACACAAGCTGGGTAAAGTGGAGAAAAAAAAAAAAAAAAAAAACAACAGGATAATTAAGGCTTTAGGAAAATTCACAAACCTGAATCCCTCATCCGCTAAATACAACATTACATTAGCCAGTCGGTCCCTGAGCAGGACACCCTATAATGACCTGTCTCTGCCAGGAGACCCAGGACTCCTAAAGACCTACAAGGCCAGTCATTCAGACCGCACGTGATTACATGGTTAAGCTTGGCTACTTAGTTTAAAAGAAAATGAGGACAGCGACACGCTTCAGGAAAGATGAATTACAAATGGCTCCCTTCATCTTAATTATTCTCCAGGCCCACTGGTGTATCTGAAATTAATAAAGCAAGAACATGACAAGTAGAAAAGATATGAAAACACTGACATCACAGGGCCAGTGACCATCAAGGAAGAAAGGACGAGGGAAGCTACTGAAACAACCATGCACGAAAGCGCCCAGAACGGACCTCAGCAGACATTTAACAGAGCACAGGCTCTGGTCATATCACAGAGGACAAAGGGGAGATGGGAGGGAAAGGAGAAAGAAGGGAGCTTCATTCCATCTTGAGCAAGTACAATACATACACACACACACACACACACACACACACACACACACAAATCAGCCTCTATCCCCCAAGAACAACACTTACCTCCAAAAATAGCACATCCATGGGGGTTTTTCTAGGAGATTTAGTTGTTGCTAAAACTGATCATTTTCTTGCCAGTTAGCTTGCTCTGAGTTTTACCTAATGACATGAGTTTGAGCCATAGAACTCATTCGGTGGGAGGAGAGAACAGACCTCCGCAAGTTACCCTCTGACCTTCTCACCTGTAGCATACCCCTCCCTGCCAAATAAATAGATGTAATCTTTAAAAGCATTTTTAAACTATTAAAGAAAGCAGCTATCTGAAAGGCCAGGCAGTCACCTGCAGCCCAATGGTTCAACGCCAACTGCCCGCCAAGGTCCCTAGAAGGAAGTTGCTGTTGTCTATCCTAACCTTGTTTTGGTGTCCAATTCCCTGTCTTGT